AGTCCAGTTTCTCAAATAATTTGCTTAGCACACAGACTGAATAGGTATGAAAAGCGAATACATTCCTCTCTTAATTTCATACCTTGCAGTACTCCCTTGTTCTGTTCACACAACAGCCTCCTGGTCTAGGTACAGGTTTCACACAGGCATAATTAAGTGCTCTAGGATTCCCATTCTTCTCAATGTTAGCCATAACTTGTTATGATCCACAGTCAAATGCCTTTCTTTGGTTAGTCAATAAAGCACAAATCAGTTTCTGGTATTCTTTACTTTCAGCCATGATCATCTGACATCAGCAATGATATATATCCCTGGTGCTGTGGCACCAAAGGATATCAACATAATAAATAAATCTGTATTTGAAGAGTGCAGTACTTAGAGATAAGGGTGGTGAGACTTCATCTCATATACTATGGGAATGTAATCATGAGTCATTGAAGAGGTGACCCCTGCTCAGTAAAGTACAAAGTCAGCAAAGGAGAGAAAGCTCTTCAAGGACATGGAGTGACACAGTGATAAAACAAAGGGCCTGAGCAAAGCAAGACTGTGAAGATGGCACAGGATTTGGTGAGGTTTCTTCTATCTGCTGGGACACAGGGTCACTATGGCTTAAAATTGATGGCATCTAACAGTAACAACATGGACAAAATACTAAATCATGAAGGAAGTATCGACAGAAGATAAAAGGAATACAAAGCCATCATACTAAAAAAGAAGTAGCTGATGCTCAATTTGTTTTTTAAAAAAAAAACCAGACCATGTCCCCAGAGCTGACAGCAACCGGGAGAGGCCCCAGCAGAGTGCCTACAGCGGCCCCTGCTGGCCAAGCCTGAATCCACAGTGGTGGGAGGGCCCCAACACCTGATAAGGTGCTCAGAAAAATACAGCAAGGGCAGGCAAAAAACTCGCTGCTTGTTCTGTTATGCATTATTAATACCATATTCTGCTTTAAAAAGAAACATCAGTAACTCTCCTGTTTCTTGGCGTTCTGTAATTTCACCGGAGTAGAGGGGACCTCCCTCTGTTTCCGAAAAAGCAAAAAAACAAAACAAAACCAAAAAAGTCTCAGACCAAACCAACTGCCACTGAGCTGCTTTTAACTCATAGTACCCTTCTATCAACTTTCCGAAGGTGTGTATCTTTCTTTACAGGTGGAGAGTGCCCTTCTTTCTTCTGTGGAGCAGCTGGTAAATTCAAAACACCAATTTTTTGGATAGGAGGTCAGTGCTGTAATGGACTACACCACCAGGGCTTCTTTCATGCATTTTAGAGGCAGCACTGATAAAAAATTACCAGGTTTGAAGGAAGAAGTCCAAGGTGCATTTAAAGCATTCGTTTTAAAAGGTGCTAGAACTGATGAAATATTCATTTAGAGGTTTCAACAAAAGGATGCAAAACTAGAGGTACTCACTAGCATATGCAGAAGAATCTGAAAGGAAGCTACGTGGCCAGCTTCCTGAAAGAGATCCCTATCTGTGTTTATTCCAAAGAAAGGTTATCCAACAGAAAGTGCAAATTCTAAAATAATATCATTAATGTCACATGTTCGTAAAATGTTGTTGAAGATAATTTTAAAAAGTATTGTAGCAACATAGACAGGGAACTGCCAGAAATTCACGTTGTATTTAGAAAAGGTCATGGAACAAGGGGTATCATGGATGTCACATGAATCTTGGCTGTAAGTAGAGCAAACCAGAAAGATGCCCACTAATGTCATACTTTGCAACTGTATCACAACAGATTATGGATAACATTGTGAAAAGTGAGAAATTTAAACATTTAATTGTGCTCATGCAAATGATATGCATAGACCAAGAGGCAGTTGTTTGAACAGAACACGTAGCTAGGACATTATTTAAAATCAGGAAAGGTGTACATCAGGGCTGTAGTTTTCCCCTAAATTCAATCGAGATGTTAAGCAAATAATTTGGGAAGATTATATAAAGAATTCAGCATCAGGATAGGAAGAAGACTCAATAATCTATAACAGGCAGATGATTTAATCTTGACTCGTTAAAGTGATTAGGATTTATCTAGTTTTGGCATGTGGACAGGGCAATCGATCCTTGGAGAAGGACACCATGCTCAGAAGGGTGGAGGGACAGTGCAGGAGAGGAAGACCACGATGGATTGATACAGTGACTAGGGCAATGGGGGTAAGTGTGTCCAAGTCAGTGAGACTGACTCAGGACAGGTCAGGATTCAGAGCTGTTATACACAGGATGGCTATCAGTCATAGGTGACTTGATAGCACCTAACAATGATGACGATAATGACAACAACAACAGCCTTTAGTTAGGATAGCAACTCAACAAAACAGAAAAGAAAAATCATCACAACCGGACCAGTAAGCAACACTGATTAATGGAGAAAAGACTGAAGTTGTCAGAATTAGGGTAACAGGAACCTCTTAACCCTAAATTGAAATGGTAACATTTGAGATGATACCATTGGGTGCCTTTGAGTCAACCACACATTCACAGTGAACCTGTGGGAACCCTGCCCAATCCTTCAGCATCCTCATACACACAATCTTGGCCATGTTCCAATCCACTGCTGTAGTTCTTGTGCCAACCTATCTTGTAAATGATCTGAGTTTGAAAATAGCAGTTTTGTCTACATTAACTTCATTAATATCAAGAATTTGGAATTTCTGAATGAAATCCAATGGTATTTTAGAAACATTATCTCTGTATCTTAGCAGATCAGATTTCAGGCTTTAAAAAATATTTTCTTACTAATACTTTTGCAGTTTAAAATTAAAAATGTACATTGTAAAGTTTTCCTAGCATTTTCTGATTTCCAGCTACCCAGATCGCTTTCTTGGAACTAATTTGGTAGTTTCTTTTCAAATAGTTTCTATATATATAGTTAATCAAATAATGTATTCTTTTCAAACAAATGATAGCCTCTTATAGACAATATCTTGCAACTTTCCTGCTTTTCTTTCTCCTAACAATAGAAATAACTGCCCATCAGTAAATATTCTCTACTTTTTTAAAAGGTTGACCGTATTATAATATACCATAAGATTCTTTCTTGTCATCTTAACCTTATTTTTTAACCATGCAACAATACCTTTATTAAGATTTTGAACAGGTTCAGTTATTACTGAAACTGAAAATTCCTAAACTTACAGTGAGATAAAAGGCTATTGTGCAAAGTTAATGTCATCCATTGGGCACTTTGAAAGTAAGACTGAAGAATAATTGACACCCCCCCCCCCACCAAGATGAAGACTAAGGTTGACTCTTTGTAGTAAGAATCATTTTCCAGACTGTTGTCATACATATAATGTCTAATCATATATTCCTTTTGGATACTTCTCATCTATCCAGTCTTTTCATCTCAACAACCCATGTCTGTTCTATATTAAAACAGCAGTGTTATCCAGTATTTGTTGTTTTGTGACTAAGGTATTTCACTGAGCATAGTGTCTTCCAAGCTCACCCATGTTGTGTAGTGTTTTACAAGTTCATGGTTTTTCAATGCTGTGTAATATTCCATTGTGTGAATGTACCATAGTTTTTCTATCCATTTGTCTGTTAATGTGCACTTGAGCTGCTTCCTTCCATATCCTTGCTATTGTAAATAATACAACAATAAACACGGGTGTGCATGTATCTGTTTGAGTTGCAGCTCTGTTTTTTTTTTGGGTATATTTCCAGTAGTGGTATTGCTGGGTATGGTACCTCTTTTTCCAACTTTTTAAGAAAGCACCAGACCACCTTCCATAGGGGTTGTATCACTTTACATTCCCACTAGCAGTGAAGAAGAGTTCCAATCTGTCCACACCTTTCTAGCATTTTTTTTGCTGCCCTGTTGAATTCTGCTACTGTTGCTGGGTGTGTTTAACTTCTTGAGGAGCTGTTAAATTTCACTAACAAGGGCCATGGTTGTTGTCAGGCACTTTCAGGCTGGCTCTGACTCATGGTGAGACCCTATGCACAGTAGACTGTTCACTCTCCAGCGCCATCCTCACAATCTCTGCTGTGTGTCAGCCTCTCTGTTCCAGTCACTGTGTCAATCCATTTATCATTTAATTCGGTGGCATTTACTCATAAACACTACAGGGGGCCTACTGTTCAAAATAGCTTTCCTAGGCCATTGTCCTTGACTGTGTCATATGACTTGGCAGGAACATTCTATTAGAATGTGTTAGTCTAACAAAAAAAATTAATAAAAAAAAAATAAGAATGTGTTAGTCTATCCAGCAGAGTACTGGCTAGTTTCATCATTCCACTAGATTTAAAATGAGCAAGTTCAGTAGCAGAAATCTGGGAATCCTACTACCAGTAGAGAATGCAGCCCATCTCCTTTGGGGTCAGACATTCGAGTGCCAGTCAGATCTACAGGAGAGTAGTAGCAGCTAAAGCACAGAACCAGAGACCTGACCCGAGACAGAGCTAACCGGGGACTGCTATCCGATGGAGCCAAAGTTAGCAGCCTTGGCCCACGATTGCTAGAAAACTGGGGAACACGGTAACACTCTCTAACACTGAGCTAAATAAAGCTGTAAGGCTGAAGGGCCCACAAGCACACTTCAGAAGCTGTCCTGACTGAGAAATTTTATCTTGTGGCCAGCCTGAGTTGTAACCTGCTAGCTCCCCTAATAAGCCTCACAACTGTGAATATGGTTCTGGGAGATCTGAGTAAGCTATATTGCAACAGATTTTGGACAACAGTAAGATCACTGTTGGAATTTGTAGAAATAGGTGCAGTTCCCCCAGGCAGAATTAGCAGAGATCAGACACATCCATCCCCATCCGCCTATACTCTTTTTTTACAAACATAAGACCATTTAAATAGGGAAATTACTAGTCTATTAGTTCCATGTTCTTCCAATAGCAATTTCATGATCTATTTGTTTTAACAACCTATTTGCAATTATGATTTTTAAATATATAATAAAAATAAATCCAAATATCAAGGTTAAAATAAAAAGTTATAAATATTGAAGTTTTGAATATTAACCATTATAAAAGAGTTAATGTTCATACCTGGAATATGACAGACAGGATTATCATCTCCATTTTTTTCCAAAATAAGATTAGTCAGGAAGTGTAATCCTATCATACACTGTAGTAAGTGATGGATACTATCTATGCAATTACCATGTAAGTCAATATGTCTAAGTTTGTGCTTAATTCCATGAAGTGGGATCAACCCTGCAATAAAAAAAAAATCCTTTGATGCCAGAGTAATATTTTACTGTTAATTACAAATAAATGTCATACAGTTTACATTTTGAGGAATAAAGGAGATATACAGATACATTTACATGAGTCAGCTATATATTGCATAAAGCAACAGCTTTATATGCAGGAAATCATTACTGATTAACAGACATAAGCAGTATGTCTGCTAACTGCAGTTTACATCAATTTTGTCAGTTTGAGCATGAAATAAATAGTACCCTCATGATTTAGTTCCTTGATATTTCTTGAGCATTGTTATTGTTATGTGCAAGCAACTCATAGCAACCCTGTGTACAATAGCTCTGAATCCTGCTCTGTCCTGAGCCAACATTATTGTTTCTGACACACCTATCCCCATTACCCTTGTCATTAAGGGTCTTCCTCTCTTATGCTGTTCCTCCACCCTCCCAAGCATGATCTCCCTCTTCAAGGACTCGTCCCTCCTTGCAACATACCCAAAGTATGTCAGATGAAGCTAAGGTTATCTAAATCATAATGCTGGGAAGCAGATTTGTAGCTAATGCTACTGGTGCCCAGGACTAGATCTCCTTGGCCCACCTATGACTTCAGCTGCAACTTTGTAGATAAGAAGATGGCATAGCTAGGGGTAAAACAAAATTCCCTACTTTAAAGTCTTGGCAATAAAAAACAGAATGAAACAAAACAACCCCAGAATTTTTTTTTTTTTAAAAAAGAGATTACTTCAGCTTAAAGACAGGTGGTAGTGGTTGCTGTTATGTACCATCGAGTTGTTTGCAACTCATAGCGACCTGATATATAATAGCTCTGAACCTTGCTCTATCCTGAGCCAACATTTTTATCTCTGACACAGCTACCCCCATAACCCCAGTCACTGAGTCAATCCATCTCCTCCAGGGTGCTGTCCCTCTACCCTCCCAAGCATGATGCCGCTCTCTAAGACTGGTCCCTCCTTACAACATGCCCAAAGTATGCCAGAGCTTCAGAAGCCTTGCCTCCAAAGAGCAGCCTGGTTTCACCCTCTCCAGAACAAACCTGTTTGTTCTCCTAGTACCATTTTTTTTATAATACTAGTTTATTTACAAAATTTGAATACATTGTTTTCCAGAACAGATTCTTCTAATTTCTCTATTTTTTGCATACTAGGCACCTTATAAGGTGTTTTCTAATGAAGTATAAAAAAAAAAGTAAATGATTAAGACTGCTTTAAACAAATCCACCAGATGCTCTGCTGGAGAAGGAGGAACAATCTCCTCCTGTATCAGTCAGATCCGATTTGACGGTACACTCAAAAAAATAATGAAATAAATTTTTTTTTAAAAAAAGACTGCTTTAAACAATGATGATTATGAATATAAAAAAAATCTTCGCTAGTTCTAACATAATTTTAAGGATAGTACCAAACTTTGTTTACTTTATCAAGAATGTTACTTCAAAGAATTAAAAAACAGATAAAATGTTTAAGTCTTAGACATATTAGAAACAAAAAAGGAAAAGGAACATTATCTGGACACTGTTTAATAGAATCTAGAATGCTGTATACCTACACTTTTCAACATAGTAGCCACTAGCTATTAAATTAAGACGTTCAGCTCTTCAGTTGAAACACAAGATTAGTAGTCGCTGAATTGCACAGTACAGATACAGAGCATTTTATTACTGTAGAAAGTTTTATTGGAATAATTACTCTCTGTATAACTGTACATTAATCAATTATCTAATTATTCTCTCAAATCAGGACTTTCCCATCAAGGTTGTTTTCATGGGTTTTTTGTTTGTTTGTTTTTTCCTTTTTCCTGTACTAATATCTTTTGTCTTTATTATTCTTTGTCTTAGCACCACCAAGAAAGAATTGTTACTGAGACACATTCTCTAGATGGTATCTTTAGTCAAATTATTACCAATATGCTGAGTTGAGTCTAACTCATCATATATTATATTTAGTATTCTAGAAAACAAAAGTATATCTACTTACCACTAAGATCATTTATTCTGTTATAGGATAAATTCAGTGTGGTCAGATTAACTAGTTCTTCAAGTCCTAAAACAAAATAAAACCTTTATTATAGGATTTAAGAAATTAATTAGAGAAAGATAACATATTTTACTACTACTTCAGACTGTTTTGAAGAAAATCCAAAATTTGATAAGGGCTTTGTGGTTGTTTTTTTTAATTATTTTATTTTTGAAAGCAATTTTATTAGAATTAAAAAAGACATATTTTAAAAAATTTTATGCTATCTGGAAAATCACTTTATAAAAAAAGAAAGTTTGGATACTTTTTCAAAAGTTTCTAATAATATTCTACTCTTTTGCAAAGAAAAACATCTTAAAGAATCTGTTTTCTATAAAATAGCACATAAAAACAATTTACTAACCTTCTATTCTTGTGATCAAATTGCAGGCCAAATTCAAAGTGCATAGATTTGTCAATGTGCTTAGTCCTTCTATTTGACTTATTTGATTAGATGATAGATCTAAATGTTGTAAATTCCAAATATGATCAATGGCTTTGATTTTTGAAATATTATTGCAGTGAAGATTGATGGTATGAAGGGTTGAATCTAAAGACAATTCTGATAAGCTGTAAAGGAAAATGTATTATCAAAACCAAGTAAAAAGGGTAAAATCATGACCAAATAATTAGGATTAATAAAACAGCAATAGATAGCATGTGCTTACAATTCATTCTAAAATAAACTCCTCTCTTCTTACTTGTGGTAGCTGTGAAATAGAGGTTTCATTTATCACTTGAACCTGTATTTTGGACCATTTATACAAGTAAGTAAGCCACTAAGTGAGAGAGGTGAGACCCTACACATTTCTAGCTTCTAAATGCAAAACCACTAGCATACACAAACAAAAACAAAAAGCAGACAACCAAACATCAACACCCGAAATCCACTGCTGTCCAGCAGATTTTGACACATAGCAACTCTCTAGCAGGTGTCCAAGGCTGTGAATCTTAACAGGAGATTGCCTATCTCTTTTCCAAGGAGCTGTGGTGGGTTAAGAACTCCAGAGAAGAGCAGGGTTTTGGTTAACAGGGCAACACATTACAGGCTGTGCTTCCAGACCCTCTATAGTGTATGTTGCTGATGTGTGACATCAAGTCAGAACTGACCTATAGCAGACCCTCCAGTGAGTTTTCAGAGGCAGTATATCATACTAGCGGTAAGGAGTTGTACTGGTATCCTAAAGGGACATGGTTCAAATCCACCAGCTGCTCTGAGGGAGAAAGACGGACAATCTCCTTCCGTGTGGTTACTCCCTCTGAAAACCTGCCAAGGGTTGGTTCCCACTCGACAATTTATACAACAGCAACAAGGCACCAGAGCTCCCTCTACAGCATATAGTGAAAATAATATTGAATTATCAGTAATTGCAAAGTCTCTGAAATAGAAATCTGTGCTCTACCACTTCTATGTTGTGAGGAGTCCTGGTGATACAAGAGACTGGTGGTTTGAAACTACCAGCAGCTCCATGGGGGAAAGACATAGCAGTCCACTTCTGTAAAGATTTACAGAAAGGTTATTATTGTTGTTAAATGCCATAAAGTCTCCTGCAACTCACAGCGACCCCAGGTACAAAAGCTCTGAACCCTCCTCTATCCTGAGCCAACTTGATTGTCCCTGACACACCTACCTTCACTACCCCAGTCACTGATTAGTAATGCAGAAGCAAAAGACTCAGAAACTCTGTATAGCAAGTTATATCTTGTCCTCTAAGGTCACTATGATTCAGAACTGAAATAATGGCAGTAGATTTCATACTGTTTGGGGTTTAAACCTCTCTTGAGGATCAGCTTCCCCATCTCATTTAATCTTCATTATATAAAAGAGGATAATGAAGTTAATGGGAATTAAGCAATTTGCCCAAGTTCTTAAAGTTATCAAGCAACAGAGGCCAGCTTATAAATCCAGACAGCTGGCTATGATGTTAATCCCGTCATTGTCAATAAATTGCTATTTAATCCAGGATGGGGCTGAACTAAAAATAAATCACTTTTTATTGCTATTTCTGCTCAAGAAGTACTTGTGATGTCTTGCAGGAATTTAGAATGAACCTCTCCTAAATAGAACCTACTCTTTCATTCCTTTCTCCAAGGACATTATGCCTGGAAAGGTGTTAAGAAAGGAAAAGTGTAGAAGAAAGGGAGAAAGAAAATACGAGAACTGATAACATTTTTAAATGCTCTTATAATCTGTTAACATGGAAAACTAGGGTATACTTAACTCTAGGAAAAGCATGTTGTATTTCTTTCTGACATAATCTCCTGGAGCTAATATGACAGAAAATAGAAGTGCATTTTATTTATATTTCTGAACCTTTGACATGCTTTATCTCAATCACCTTATATTTTAGTGCTGTGTGATGTTACAACTGCTCCATCTGGAGAAAATCACTGCCTTAGACATAATAAAAAAAATATGCATATTATAAATAAAAACATTTTTTCACAAAAAAAAAAAGAAAGAAAGGAAAAGTGTAAGGCAGGTAGACCCACAACAAAAAGGACTGAAAAGGTGACTGTAAGAATGGGCTCAAGTGTGTCGGAGATGGTGAGGACAGTGCTTGGTTGAGATCTGCAGTTCATAGGGTTGCTATGAGTTACAATCGCCTTGATAGCACATAACACCTTTACTCCCTTAACTCCTACCATTTATAATAGGAACATCTGCAAAAAAAGAAGTTCCTGTACAGTGCACATAAATCAGAGCTGCTGAATGGCTGAATCAAAGGACCTGCTAGGAGAGAGAACACACACTATCTGGGCACCTGTTGTAGAAACTACTGTTGTTTGTTAACTGCAGTCAAGTAGGATGACTAGTAAGATGTGGATAAAAGTTCAAAATGGCAAGGGGAAAGGGACAAGGGGGCAGAGAGTAAAGAGGGGAGGAAATCACTAGGATAATAGAGTTTGATGAGCAAAAGTGGAGGGGATGCATGAAGGAATTAAGAAAGATCCACTAGGGACCTGAAAAGATGGGCAAGAGTCGTTATAGATCAATGGTAATTAATTTTATAAAATACGATGTACATGAATGATAGTTTGAAATACAATGTGACCATAGGAATGTATGAAATGCAAGGTACGTGAATGATACAGTGTTTATGAATTTTGTATGTAATCTAAGATAAAATAAAAATTAAAGTGGAGGGGGAAAAGTAAAAAAAAAGTAGCTTCTGTTGCATGGCAACCCTAATGCGCACCGGAGAACTGCCCTATAAGGTCTTTTGGGAGCAGTTCCCCAGACATATTTGAACCACCAGCCATTCAGCTAATAGACTAATACCCAGCTGTTAATGCTGTTCAGAGATTGCAGACACCATAGCAGCTACCAAAAAGCTGTGGGAAAGTTAACCTTGTCAGCAGAGAAGTGAGAAGTCTTACAGTTAGGAATTGGTTATAGAATTTTCAAGGCATTCCAGTTTGTTTCTAAAGTAATGCAAGTAATGAATCTGAAATTAAATAGCAATATTCTTTACATGTGGATGTTGTTAAGTACTGTTAAGTTGAGGACGACTTATTGCATCCCTACGATCTGAAGTCCTATCCTGTGCCTCATAATCTCTGACACACTTGAGCCCATTGCTGCAGTCACTGTCAATCCACCTAGTTGAGGTGACCCAGTCAGTCTTCTGCTGTCCCTCCACCTTTCCAAGCATCGTGTCCTTCTCCAAGGAACAGCCTCTCCTAGCAGCATGCCCACAATATCTGAGATGAATCTCACCATCCTTGCTCCAAGGAGCACTCCGGTTGCACCTTCTACAAGACATATCTGTTTGGTCTGGTTTGTCACTTGTACGATGAAAAAGATCACTACTTTGCAAAGTTGTGAGGACTGGTGATAAAGTGTATTATAAGCATATGAGCGTATATTGCAGACAGTCAATGAGAAAGATTACTATTAAATATAAAGATTTCTTAAAATCCCCCCCCCCGAGATCATATGTCAAATTTTAGACCAAGACCAGGACATGATGCTTTAGTTAGCAAATTTTATATTGATGATGGCCTAGTTCTAAGAAGCTGCACTGCAATTACAAAGGCACAAGGTTTGAATCTACCAGCTGCTCAGCAGAAGGATGGGCACTCTCCTCCCTTGAGATTTTCTGCCTAAGAAAACCCACTGGAGGGTCAGCTATGGGTCGGTTCCTTAGACTGTACTTAATAACAAAACATTAATGAGGGCGCACAATACAGGCACAGTGTGTGCAAAGGCACAGAGAAAGCGGCTTCCTGGAGCTAAAGCTGACCACAGAATGTTAACTGGAGAAATGGTATGAAAGGAGACTGGAAAGATAAGCAGAGACCGATTACTACTGCAGTAGCAAACACTTAGTACGTTGTGCACAAGTGAGTACAGATGCATGTATGCAAAGCTCTGTAGAAGCGGGATAATCTGAGGCTAAATCAATGAAGACCAGAGATCTTAGCTCCAGAGAGCTGCTGAACTGCCTGCCACATTTTTGTCAGTCTAAGAGGAACAAGGCAAACAAGGCAGAACTCGGAATCCCAACAATCAAAGGGCACACACACAAAATAAGAGCCAGGAAAAAAGCTCAACCAAATGAAACCCAAGAAGTGAGAGGTGTGGTCCTAAGTTGGTGAACAAGACGTCCTAAGATAACACCATATGAGATGCTGAAGGCATGAAAAGATCGAGGAAGCTAAGCCGAGTGTGTTTCTACCCAGGAACCGAGCTCCAGACTTCAGCTCGGCGGAGACCCCCCCGCCGCCCCCACGGCCAGCTCCCCACGCCGCCTCAGGGAGGCGCTGCACGCCGCGGGGTGCAGAGCGCCCTCTACCTCTGCAGGCCTTTGTCCAGGAGGCATAAATCTCCGCAGCTGCTGTCGACATCATTTTCGCCCTCCGCAGCCGCCGCCGCCTCCATGGCACCGGCGACGCGGAGCCGGGTGTTAACGGGCGCCCAGCTTAGTGTCCGAGAGCCCGGACACACCTCCCGGCGGGAGGGGGCGGGGCGAAGCTCCCCCACCCTTAACCGACAGCCCGGCTCTTTCCCGCCCTGGCGGCGCCGCAAAGCAAGTGGTCTACCACACCAAGGGCTTTCCGTACTTTCACGACAGTCTCGAGGCTTGCCGTAAAAGTCAAGCTTCTTGGAATTTTACTCCTTGGTGTTGCGAGCAGTGTACGTCCTCACACCTTCCACCCGCGAGCTGTTGTTGTAGAACTTTCTTGTTTTAGCTTTTGCACATTGGTTGACCTTTATTTCCTAGAACTGTGCCTATTTTATAAATTATCACTCCATGGACTAATGGCACCTCATGTCAATGTGTGAAACATTTGTTGGTGCTCTGAATTTTGCCAGGCACTTTCCTATAAAAGTAAAGCCTACTCTCTACGACGTCAGTCTGGAGACTAAGATGCACATGACACAGGCCATGGTCTTTGCAATCATATGCTATGCATCAGAGAACAGGAAAATAGGGATGAAAGAAGAATTGATGTCTTTGAGCTGTGGTGTTGGAGAAAGAAGAATGTTGAATATACCATGGACTGCTAGGAGAACAAACAGGTTCGACTGGCAAGAATTCTGAAGCTCCGTCTGACATACTTTGGACATGTTGCATGGAGGGACCAGTCACCACTGTGCAGAGCGTTCATAACTCAAGGGAAGAAACAGTTGTTATCTAGTAGGGAAAGTTACAGAAATAGCACCTGGACCTCTAAAAGTGTAATGTTACTTAAAAGAAAGTGATTGATGATTGAGCAGCCTTTCAAGGTCAAGGGAAGTTGTGCAAATGGAGGAATTCTAAGTGGGAAAACAATACCTATGTTATCGTGTAAATGATCGCTGTTAGTCGCAGTTGAGTACCTAGCAACAAGTTCATTATATTGAGAGTCCCTGGGTGATAGAAACTGTTAATGCTACTTTCAATAGTCCAGAAGTGTCTTGGAAGAAAAATCCTGGGGTGGGGAGAATCAGTTACTCAAAACCCTATGCAATATATTCTGATTATTAAAGCTATTACTCCTCATTTTGCTTGAGTTCCAATCTGAGCTCTACCTCGAATACTATATCTATTCTGTTGTTATTCTATTGCTCATAAGGTTTTCTGATGCCTACCGTTTAAGAAGTGAATGGTCAATCCTGCTTTCTAATCTCTCTTAATCTGAGAGCACTGCTGAGACCTGTCTACCATGGGTGACCCTTTTGGCATTTGGCACATTGATGGCATAGCTTTCAGCATCACAGCAACACACAACTTAACCCCAGTGCAACAAACTGACAGATAAGTGCTATCCTCTAACAGCAAATGTAAGATACCATGACAAAGATGTCATCTTGAAGGCAAAGATGTCAAAGCTTTGTCTCACATACTCTGAGCATTTTGCTAGGAAAGGCTATTCCTTGGAAAGGTGGAGGATCAGCTAAAAAGAGAAAGGTCCTCAACTAGATGGATTGACACAGTGACTGCAGCAATAGGCTCAAGTATGTCAGAAATAATGATGGCACAGAATAGGACAGGGTTCAGATATGTTTTTCACATAGGTCGCTATGAGTTATACTCAACTTGATGACACCTAACAGCAACAGATGCAACACAACTGTCCTCTGAAAACACAGGTACTCCAGGAGTGAAAGATATTTTTTTTCTCTTCTTTTTAAAATTCAGTGTATCAGAGAATCCTCCTCCTTAGATTGCTGCCTGAGAGCATGCAGATATTTAGAGATGGAGACCTTGAAGATGAATTTCAGCTCTGAGTCTGCCACTTGTCACTAATATGAACTAAAATCTTCAGTGGTTCTACACATTAAGACTTAAACAAAAGTCCAAGTTCCCAAACTCTCCCCCAACACTTCCTACTTCCCTCATAAGTTTGATAATTGGCTGGCCACACACAACTCACAAACAATACTTAACATTGCGGGATTAATTAGGAAAGTAACAGGTTAGAAAGCCAATACGTGGAAGAACTCAGGAAGCAGTTGTTTGATCAGAATCACCTTGCTCCTCACCAAGGCCTGAAGAGAGGCCTTCTCTGGCTTTCAGCCTCCTAGTCTAGACTTTTGCTCTACTCTGTCAAGTGTTCTAAAGCTCATTTAGTTCTGCTGGTTTAAGTGTCCTTAATGCACTCCATTCTGCAAAGGTGCTTGGCTCCAGCTCTGGATTGGCAAACCCAGAAGGCACCATCTCCATCAGTTAAGTCTCCTGCCAGAAGGCACTCAGCTGTCCTGCACTATGTCTTTGTGTCATCTTCCCATCTCCTGATGGCTGTCTGGTACTACACTTCTCTTGACTCCTGGGTCAATGAGGTTTCAGCACAGAGAAGCATAGGTTTAAAGAATGCACTCTGCTCCTCAATCTTCTTTCTTGATGATGGTTAGATCTTCCTTTCTACCTTTGTGATGGTTCTATATAAGCCTAGCTGGATAGTAAAAATTGGTCATTCCTCACATTAGGGTTTCATATACATTATTTGCATAATTCTACCCACAAGGGTGAAATTTTCAGTATTAGAAAATTCTCTAATCCCAGTAGCTAGCTTGAACAAGCAAAATTGTTTCTCTTACTGGTTAGGAGGCTGGAAGTCCAAATAAGGGTGTCAGCTCTAGGGGAAGGCTTACTCTCAGTAGTGGGGAGGAAAGAAGTTTCCTTCATTGTTTGTAGGCTAGGCATTCTGTGGTTCCTGGCTTTCCAAGTGCCAAGGTTCTTTCTTAAGAAGGCATCCAAGTTAAAAAAAAAATAAAAATACACTCATTCTTGGCATTTCTTAATGGTAGTGAGGACCCTTCTTCCCTCAGCTTCTTTCTTCTCTTTTCTTTCTGGTGAATTAAAAGGTATTACATGCCACACCTTAGGAAACTCTCCTTACAAACAATTAGGGCTGTGCTGGGATTAAGGAGCATTACATTAAAGATCTCTGGTAGCCTAGTGTCAAGAACTTCACTGCAATCTTGAAGGCACATGATTTGAATCCACCAGCTGCTCTGCGGGAGAATGATACACAATCTCTTCTCATACTATTGATAATGATGAAGGATGACAGAAGAAGGATGGATGTCTTTTAGTTGTGATGCTGGAGAAGAGTGTTGAATATTCTATGGTCTGCCAGGAAAATTAACAAATCTGTCCTGGAGAAGACGAAAGCAAGCTGCTCCTTAGAGGAAAGGATTTTGAAGCTCCATCTCATATACTTTGGGCATGTTGCCAGGAGGAATTGGTTTTTGGAGAAGGATATCATGCTTGGAAGGGTGGAGGGACAGTGTAGGAGAAGAAGACCCCAGATGACATGGATTGACACAGTGCATTGTTTGTTCCTCTGGTAGACTATAATATTCAATACTTTTATGCAACACCACAATACAAAGACATAATTTCTCCTCTCATCCTTATTCATTGTCCAACATTCAGACATGTAGGAAGCAATTGAAAATTTCAAGGCTTGGATCAGGTCTTTAAACTTGCACGTTTGCTCTTTAACATTTTGAAGATGTCCTTGACAGCAAGCACTCCCAATGCAACATGTCTTTTGATATCCTAACTACTATTACCAAGGGTTTTGATTGTGCATCTACATAAAATGAAATTTTTTACAACTTCAGTCTTTCTCCTCCAATAGACAGCATCATGATTCAGGTGGAAAAATGAAATTTTTAGTTATCATCTCACTTGGATCCACAATCAAGACTCTTGGTGCTAACAGTAAAGAAACCAAAGTCATATTGCATTAAGAAAATCTGCAGTAAAGGACCTCTCCAGAGTGCTATTGAGCAAGCATGTCAGTTTAAATGGTAAAGTGCACCTGATCCAGATAATGTTGTTCCAATTACTTTCCAGGCATCTGAAAGTTGGAAATAAATAAGGATGACAGAAGAATTAATGGCTTTGAGATTTGGTGTTGCAGGAAAGTACTGAATATCCCACGGAGTGCCAAAAGAACAAGCAAGTCTCTTTTCGAGGAAGCGGCAACCAGAGGTAAGGATGCTGAAACAGGGTCTCATCCTCTGAGCATGTCATCAGGAATGATCAGGCCTTGGAGAGAGACATGCTGTGAAAGACAGAAGGTCAGCAAATGAGAGAAGTTCCTCCAACAAGAGTGATTGACATGCCTGTAACAGTGGGCTTGAGCATGACAGAGGTGGTGAGGATGGAGCAGGCTAGGGAAGGTTCATATCTGTCCATAGAGTTGCTGTGAGACGTAATTGACTTGATGGCATCTAACAACTACAACAACAATCAAGTGGAGGCCACATTGTGAATCCCGCACAGCTCATTAAAATGATGACACCAGAGAGAATAATCACGAAGGAGGCAAAGATGAGCACCTAACATTGAGCTACAGTTGGAAAGCAGCACGTATCTAGAGCTGAGGCGATCAAAGTTTATTGCCTCTCTGTCTTGCAACAAAGCATGTATTGAGGATATCTAACAATGAAGGTAGCTAAGTATTGAGGCAGAAATAGTAATTGAAACGGCCCAGTGAAGGGAAGGATTGCTCTATTAATCTAGTGCAACAGCATCTGTGGAAAAGCAATTAGAAAAGCTACTAATTAGTTGCCCCTTTGTGTTTGAGTTGGAACTGACTCATAGCTGATTCTCCTTGAGGTTTCCGAAGTGATGTCGCGTAGACTGCTTAACTTTCTCTTGTGGAGCCGCTGGTGGATCCCAACCTCCAGAAGCTTTACCTTCAGGTTAGCAACTTAACTCCCCACTGGTGATGCCACTAGAGCATTTCAAGAATGAATGTAAAATTGATAATGTCCAGGTTTTTTGAAGGGTAAATATTAGAGACCTAGCAAAGAAGGAATTATTTTATTATAAACATTTCATTAATTTCTTTTTAGTCCGTCCGTCCGTG